AAAATAAATTTCATGCTTCTGAGATGCAAATGAAACTTTTTACAGAAGGGATTCTCATTTAATTTGAAATAAGCCAAAATACAGCTGTTTTACACACCAAATCAGCTGTATCTTAAGAAGCAATTTTTTTCTAGCTAATTCCTTCTGTAAATCTTTTCATATTGAGTTTATATAGTTTTTCATCAATGTTTTGAAAGAGTTCACTCATCCCTTGATGAGAAGTAAAATAAAGAATGAAGCTCGAAAGTAATGAGTCACACCCTATCACAGTAGATTTGGCTGTTCATTTTTCGATTTTTTGTCACACTCGCGTCATCTTTTTACTCAGTGCTACTGATCATTAGCAAGATACACTTTGCATACACTGTATTAATTTTTACTCATCGTTTTCCTTGGCTATAGTAGATGAATTCAACTTATTAGCACAATATCGTTCAGTATAATACATTTATATTGACCTAAATTTGATTACTAAATTTATAATTTAGGTACAAGTAGGCAGACACTTTGACCGCCACATTCTGACTGAAAATGGTAATTTTTCAAATTCCGCTCGGACGCAGATACAACCGAAAAGCGCACCCCCAATATATGAGAGATCCTCTTGACGCCACACCACTGACCAAAGCCCCTACTGCCCAGGTTGATGTCACGAGACCTGTGCTCATTGTGTATGCAACCAGTCTGTCAATAACTGAGTTTGTACCCTTGAATCCGGACCGTGACTTATTCAGCAAGACAGTTATTGTAGTCGCAATAAACATGTCTGTGGCAGCAGCAGCAGCATTCACCACGCATTCAATTGTAATAAGTCTAGGAACCTCTTCAAAGTGGGAGAGGTCGAGTATTTTCACAAAGTAGACCGTGAGCGCTGCAAACTCGGCTATGACTGCGGAAGTCAGTCCAGCAGTCAGGAGTCTGTTTCTATTGCTCACTTAGCAAACATCAGGGTTAATTATGCTTGTTTGCAAAAATTAGAATGAGTATTGTAACGTACAGTGCCAAGCACGAGCAACAAAAAGGGCCTGCACCATTGCATCAATAAAACCCGAGATGATCGAGTCAGCGACGAGGAGTCTGAATGGTTACAGTAAGCGATTAGTTGGAACAGTTAACCAATGTGCTCGAAGTGATTTACCGAGGACCAGCAAGGAGCCTGAGGTTCCGTGCAAAGTGTACAATGTGCTCAGTAGAAACGCCTGGTGTATCGTGTCTAGAATCCAAATGGTACAGATATAAATCTTTAGCCAAAGTTGGTCGGATAACGAATATTTCTGAGTGTATATGATGTACTAGTAAATAGTCAGGAATCAGGATTGATGAGAAATTAAAAAATCTAACCTCGAAATAGTAGAACAGTTGAAGGCATCCCAGTCCCCAGAAACTGCACTGATTTCAGCCAGCCATTTTCGTTAGGAGCACAGGGTATATGTGTATAAGCATAATAAAATCTCACATCGAAGAGAAGCTAGAAACACGTGATGATTGGTATACTAGTCAAAGTCTCAAAGACAGATTCCAAAATAACATACATTCCAGACATGAAAAGAGCACCAGTCAAATTTGTTGTGTGTGTGAAAACAATAGTACACATGAAGAAGAGAACACACACTGTAGCATTCGAGGGCTGAATTGTATCTCCTGAGTCCTGACATGATAAACATGCAAAATCTCTCTGTGGAACTATTAAAAGGAGGTTATGAGAGAGGCTTAGAGGGATCACACAAAGAGGGGGGATAGTGGACTCAGCTTGCTCTCTTGCAACTTGCTTAGTGCTCTGCACCGTAGCATAATTTACGGTTACGCCTTCAGCGTATACAGTTATGCAGCGTATCGTAAATGACTTTTGGAGCTGAAAATACGCGCGTATTTTTATGCGCATATGTATATACTTTGCCCCCAAAAATCCCGTATACAGCGTATACAACATATACACAGTACACAAGAGACCTAGGAGATCAGCAGTTCTCCCTATTTAATCTGACATCGATCAATTCAACAGCCTTTTATAGATAGGTTGCTTCTTTGTACCTGCCCTTAAACTCAAACTTTGCATGCGTGATGATATGCATGGTTAGCATTCCTCTCACCCCCTGACTGTCTCTCACTCCATCACTAGTGTCCTACTTCCCCCTGCTGCTTTCAGTAATATTAATCATCTGTTAAACAAGATAGATGCTTGATAAGAAGTAGGTAACATTGTATAAAGATGTCTGCAAGGATTTCTTTCGTCTAGGTGAGCCACATTATAGGCAATTGGTTCAGAGACTGATTATGTGTGTCTAGTGTAATCCTTATTGTTTCTAAGTATCTTTTCCCCATATAAATATGTTTCTTCAGAATGTGCTGCATACCTATCAAGATAATCTTTTCATCAGCAATGCCCTTATGAGATCTGTGATCATCTGTCTTGTAGCTATGCTCACCTCAGTCTTTGTAGCTTTTTGCTCAAATTTGTAGACCATACTGTCTCTTAGTACTTACAAGAGCTCTATAACAGTTTAACCACTCTTGAAAAAGCTAACAATGTGATTATAGATTTGAGTAGTACAATGACAAAGGTAATCAGCTTGACAATTGGACCCTAGATCTGGTAGGATACAGTAGCTGGTAATATTTTTCTGATACAATATTTGTAAGGTCTGACTTATTCAAATCAATCTTAGTACAGTAGCTTGAAATGGGATAGGTTATATATACTTTCAAGCAAATACTTAATGTCTAGATTGTACTGAGTGAATTTTTTCATAGTCACAGTCTCCTACACATTCACTAAACAGTACCTTCAAGTGCTTCCTATACACTGGTAAGTCTTTCAAACTTGAGAATGTATAGTATATTATTAATTCTTATTGTTAGTACTATAGGATGAGTGAAGATACAACAAATAGTAGAAAGTAGAAGCAATGGGACAAAGTTGACTCAGGCAACATTGTTAACAACAAATGGTAGTGTGTCTAGTCAGCAAAGCTCTGTGAGAATGCTAATACATTGAAGAAACCTTAAGCAAGGAAGAGTAAGGACCTGGGTGCTGCTAGTCACCCAGTCCTGATAGAGAGTATGGATGACAAGGATACATCTGTTCAGGAGATGGATTCTGAGTCTGATAAAAGTAAGGATGAAGAAGTAAGTATATATCCCTTTATACTATTATTCTAAAGCTTACAACAAGCATTTTTACACTTAGGAATCTCTTTTACAACTAGGTACACTAAAGAAAATAGTACAGGTAAGAAAACTGATTGTTTGGATGTATTTACATATTACTGTTACAGTTCTCTACTCTTATACCTTCAGTTCTGAGGGTTCTGCACCCTTCTGTACCAGAACTCAGGACTTCTGTCCCTTGAGGGCACTGTCTATGAACTATATGTATACTAACTCTTACTACTACCCTTCCTTACTTTATCATTCCATTCCTTTGACCATCCCTTCATTCTTTGTTCATTCTATAGTCTCTTACCCTTTGTCCATCCCTTCATTCTTTGTACCTTTATCTTTGACCTTCCTTTCTTTCATTCTTTGTAGCTTATCATTCTTAGTAGCTCATACTCCCTGAGTACTCTTGTATAGTTTAGTATATATAGGTGTACAAGATCAGACTGGTCCTGTAGTCTTGATCTTGTCTACTCTAGGTAGTCCTGTACTCTTAGACTTACTCTATATACTCTACTCTTGTCTCACTCTCTCTCTCTGCCTGTTCTACAAGTTCTGACTATGTTCTAGTACTTGTGTTCTGTATTTCTGTTGTGTAGAATAGTTGTAGCCTGGGTCCCCTTACTAAGTCTTTGAGTCCCC